TCAGCCACGTCCCGGGAGAGAGGCCTGCTGGTGTCACCTGCAGGGACACAAATCCCCATGACCTGGCCCGGCCACACCACTCCTTCACTTCGCAGAACTCACTGGACCAGACACCTGCCCCGTCTCTTGTCTCCCCAGAGACACCACGCTAATTAGTTTCCCAGGGGCCCCAACAAAGCCCTGACTCATCCTACAAGGGCCACTCTGGCCTGCCCCCCTGACACCCAGCCCCACCCCCCACCTTCAGCCCCTTCGGAACCCCCAGCTCGCTCGCTCTTCTTCACCTCAAGATCTCGTCGCATTAGACCAGACCTAAACCTCCTTTCTCTCCACGCCCCAGGGAGCAGCCCCCCCTTTTTTTTTGGCACAGCCCCAGCCCCCTGCAAAGCAGGCAACTCCCACTTCCTACACAGGGGCAAGCCTGGAACAGGTCAGGGCTCGGCCCTGTTGGAAGCCAGGAGGCAGCAGCAGCTTTGACCCCTGCCCTTTGCCAAGCCCCTCCACCTCCACCACCATGCCTTGTCTTGGGGATACATTCCCCCCACATCGAAAGCCAAAGCCATAGGGGTGGCTTGAAAACTCCCACCTTCACCACCCACACACACCTTCCTTCCTGGGCCTTTCGGACTTCTCTAGTTTCCTAAGGAGAGGCTTTCAAAAAAGGGGCTACCAGAAAATATTTCCTAGAACTGCCTTGGGGGGTTATGGCATGAAGAGATCTGGGTGTGGCATCAGAGGACCTGAACGCCGGTCCCGGCCTGCCTGCATCGCACAGGGCAACCTCTCGGGGCAAATAAAGGTAACTTCCACATTCAGTTCCTGTACAGTGGGCTTCCTGACCCCACCTCTGAGAACTGTTGTAGCGATGAAGAGAGAGCTTCCTCCCTGGCATCTGCCCAGCCCTCCCGGGCTTTTTCAAGAACTGCCTGGCTGGCTGGGGGTGGTGCTTGAATGGCTCAGGGCGTCCCTGGGGACTGGACCACTGAGGTCCACTGGGCTTTTACTGCCTGCTTTTGGGAAACAGACTAGACTCCACCCACAGACGGGCAGTGGATGTGCATGAGGTGCCGGTGCCCTGAATGGGACTCAAACCCTGGTTTCCTGCATGGAGGGCAAGAATCTTACCATTCTGCGGTCACTCACTGGGTAGGTATTTACCTAGGAGGTGAAGCAACCCAAGCCCAGCCACAGAGGTGCTGAGTAACACGGCTGGGTTTCAAACTCGGTGGGTCCAAGCCCAAACCCCTGGGCCTGCAGCGGCCCAGCATCTCTGCTCCAGGACAGCTGCTCTTCAGACTTGGCTCTTCAGACTTGTCAGTTGTCCCCTTCCTTCCAACCAGGCTCCTCCCCCACAGGCCCACTAGAGACACCTCCCCACCTCCACCCTACCCATCTGCACTCCCCTCTATCTGCCCCCAGGCAGGAAAGTGTGCCCCCAGGCCCAGCCAGGGGTTCCAGAGTCAGGGAGAGGGAGGGGGAGGCTAGAGGGGAAAGAAAGGGCTCATGTCACCCAAGCTGGGGCTTGATCCAGCAAGAAATGAGGAATCCACAGATGGAGTCCCACCTGGTTTTCCTCTCCTTTAGCTGCCCCTCCCCCTGCCGCCAACCTCCGGTAAGTAGCTGGTTCTCACCGGCCCCTCCCTCCTAACAATACTTCCTCAGTATTATCTTTTCATCCAGCCACAAACCAGATTAGCTAATACAATTCCAAAGCCTCCCCCTTCAACACCTTAGCCCGGAGAGGAGGGAAAACAGGTTCTTTGGGCCCAAACCCCATGCTTACGTGGCTCCCAGAGGTGCACTACCCCTGATGCTCCCCCTCCAGCCTCCTGCTCCGCTCAGCCCTGGGCACCCACCAGAACACCCTAGGCTGGGGGAGGCTGGGTTCTCAGGTCTGAGCCCCTCCTTCCTTCCCCAACTCCCCCCTCCACAACCATGAAAGAGTGGGTTCCCAACAAGTCAGACCAAGCCAAGTAATAGTTCCCCTCCACTGGCATCTCCCCCAGGACTGAGGGGGACCCTGGCTCCCAAGAACCCCTCTGTCTCTCAAGAAGGAGGCTGCCCTTCCTGCTATGAAGACCACACTTAGCTGAAAGCCTAGTGGAGACTTCTCACTTGGGCTAGAGGAGGAGGTGGAGGGGTCCCAGGAACTGGGGTGTGGGAAGTGGCCAGAGAGCAAGAAAGCAGTTCTCTCTGCTTGAGGGAACTTAGTATTGAAAAAGTATCTCCACCCCACCCCCACCCCGCCCCCAAAGCCTTCTTCAAAGCCCTCTTCTTTACCCATCAAAATCTCTCGGGAAGGAGGTGGGGGGTGGGGAAAGGACAGCGCCGGCTTCCAGAAAGAATGCACCTTCATAATTCAGAAATCAGAGGGGAGGTAGCCCTCAATCCAAGGTCTCCTGCCTCAATGACCAGCCAGCTTAGTTATGTGGGGGATGGGTGGCGAAAGAAGACAGCCATTCCCCTACCTCTCACCTCCCAGCCTCCACCCCCCACCCCACCACCCATCTCCTGAGGCAGGGATGCAGACGGGAGAGACAGCTACCAGTCCTGCCTCAGGGGTGGAGGGATGGCGGAGAGGGTGTGTCCCAGGGAACAGGAAGAGAAGCTGCTTCCTTTTTGGCCCCCCCTCCCCCACTCTGGCCCCACCTCAAGACCCCCTCCAGCCCAGCAAACAGGATGGGGTGAGGGGCAGGGAGGACAGGGTCAGAGGGAAGGTTCTGGCCCTGGGCCAGGCTATGAACAGCTGGGGGAAGGGGCTTTGTGCCCGGATAGGACGACCCTCTAAACCTGGGGAGCGGTCTGTGCCAGCTGGCAGGAAGGGCCCCAGACAACAGTTCCTTCTGGAATACTTCCTGCTAGAAAGTTTCGATTTGGGTGATTAAGAGCAGCCCTGCTCTCCGGTGTCACAGCGACTGAAAACTAGGTCAGGAACTTCTGCCCATGCAGACCCCTCCGCCGCCCAGCGCCCCCACCCCGTGCAATCATCAGCTGGGCGCGGAGCCTGGCCCTGCTTCAGCCTTTCTGTGCCCCATCCCACCTCCGTTGAGGAAGAGCCACAGTCCCAGGTACCCACGGAAGCACAGGGAGAGGACACAAGCACAGTACCGCCAGGTGCCAGAAGCGGAGGGCAGGACCTCCTCCCGGCGCTCACCTGCTCAGGTGGGGGCAGCTTTGCTGGGAAAATGTGCGCTGGGCCCCCACAGTCGGGCAAGCAGGGTGCAGACAATAGGACCGCACCCAGGCCTGGGGGAGTAGGGAGGGAAATCAAGGATGACGCGTGGGGTGGGGTGGGGTGAGAGTGGCCCCAAACAGACCAGCGGCGGCAAGTTTCCCAAACGGTAAATTCCTAAGAGCAGAGTGAGCCCTGGGACCCAGGCGGAACAAGCCAAAGTCTCCCCCTGCCACCTGGGGACGAGCGTCTGGGACCAGACGTCGCGTGGGGTCCGAGGTCCCCGAGGAAGGCGCGACCCCGGCGGCACCTGCCCTGAACCCTCCTACCCTTCTGGGATTCCCGGGCCCCCAACCCCGCCCGGCCGGAATCTCGGTGGCAGCGCCCAGGACCCCAGCGCGCCCTCTGCCGCCGGTGCAGGGTGCCTCCCCTGCCGCCCGCCCTCACCTGCCCTGAGACAGCGGGGACACTCCGGCTGTGGGCCTCCCCTGCCCTCGCCTCTGCCACCCCTGTCCCCGATCGTCCGCACCTGCTCGTGAGCCTGGCCGGGGGTCGGGGTCGGGGTCAGGCCAGGGTCGGGGCCGGCGCGGCGCGGGCAGCGAACTAAGCTCGGCGCGCTCGGGCGGCGGCTGCTCCAGACGCTGGCCAAGGCAGCAACTCAGTAACCGAACAAAAGGCGAAGGGACCTGACAGCCAAGCCACGCCTCTCGCCCCCTCGAAGCTCCGCCCTCCAGGGAGACGCCCACCCGCTACTGCGAGCTCACTGGCTGCTTCGCGTGACAGTCCGATCCAGGGGCGGAGCCTCGCGCCCGGGCCTCCACCACGGCCACCTCTGTTGATCGGCTCGCTATTGGCCCCAGGGACTGCCAGTCGCCTCTGGGGACGGACTCCAACTTGAGGTGCCATCCTAACTCTGTACCTATTGGCTGATAGAAGCTTACTTCTTCTTGATTGGACAACAAGCTGTCAGTAAGACTAGAGAAAGAACCAATGGGAGCGATAGGGTGTGTCTTGCCCCACCCTAGCTCTGAGCAGGTAAGACTCTTGACTCTCCCTTCCCCCCTACCTGTCCAACAGGTGAGTCAGGGGGCACCAGAATTTTCAGACGCCTTTACTGGGCAGCTAAAAGCGTCAGGCATGGAATTTCTTTGTGCTTATTCATCCTTGCCCCAAAGTAGTCAAAACATATTTTTATAGTATTTCATAAGGCATTTTGCTATCTGGGATTTTTACCTCCCTCCTACACAGGGATTGTTCGTGGGCTTTAGAAATAGTGGGACCAGGACTGGGCTTTCGCTCTGCCACTTGGTGACATGGTCTTAGGCAAGCGACTTCACCTTCCAGCCTATTCCTCCTCCCCTGTGAAAGAGGTACATGAATTATATCTATCTTCCTTGGGTGTGGGGGATTAAAGGAAGTAAGGGTTGTGAAAAGGCTGGGGTAACTGCTAAATATTAGGATTTAAATGAGTGCAATGGGGTTTTGTTTTTCTTTTTCTTTTTCACAATAATTTGGGAAATTGTTAGGACAGCAAAACTATCCTCATTGTAAAGGGAAAGAAGCTGAGATCCAGAAGGGTCGCAGAATTAGAAGGTGCCACACCCTAAACTAGAACCTCTTCTAATGACAAAGCTCGCCAAACCCCAGGCAGTGAAGAAAGTGTGGGAAGAGGCGTGATCAATCCCACTGGAGGGACCCTCCGGAGCCATTGGGGTGGGGCAGAGATAGAAGTATTGGGGTCAGGAGGCTTTGAATGAAATTGGGAAGCAGATGGAGAAAAGACCAACCCCGGGTCCAGAAGAACTGGACACAGGCTCCCCCTCCGGCAGGCAGAGCTGGACACGCCAGATGGAATGTCCAGCAGGCAGGTTAAGAAGACCGCAGTGTTCCTTTTTCTTTTTTTAAACAGTTTTATTGGCAGAGAACTCACGTATAACACAATCCAATAGTTGGATCACATATGGGGAATTGTCCAATTGAGGTGTTTATTTTTTACTCTAATTTTTGAAATTGTGACTCGGGTGAAAGTTTACAGAGCAGATTAGTTTCCCATTCAACGATTTACGCATACTCTGTGACACTGATTGCAACCCGCCTCACGTGTTCCTGTCCTACTTCCTCTTTGAATTTCCCATTTCCCTTAGTCCTTTGTTCCTCTTCCTTCCTGCTTGCCTCCTGAGTGGGATCCAGGGCAAAAATGCTGCCCTTCTGCTCCTGTAAAGCCTGCTTGTTCTAATAAGCCAGTGCCTCCCTGATGGTGCTGTACCCCTGAGAGGCTTGTCCATCCTTTGGCTGAAAGTTAAGCCACAGGGATGAAGCCAGCTCTAGCTTAAGAGGCGTCTAAGGGCCATCTGGGATCACAGGGATTCCACCAGTCTCTTGCAGAGTGGTAAAGCCAGGGTATTTTCTCTCCTTGGTGGAGACAATGAACCCCTGGGCGAGAGGCATCTTGTCATGGTCCTACAGGAATTCATTCTCTCAACACGCAGACATCCAGCACCCGCTCTATGCTAGCGCCTGGGTGAGCCCCAGGTGGTGTAAGAAATCAGCATGACCCATGCCTCAGAGGATTTGCAGAGAGGTCATTTGAAACAGGCCATCTAACCCAGCCTATGGGTGTGTTGGGGGCAGTGGTTGCTCAGGAAAGGACCCCCAGAAAAACTTGGTAGCCCCAAAGTTAGCACACACTAACGAGGATGAGGCTAGGCAAAGGCACCCCATCAACATCTCTGACCACTTACTCCAGCAGAGAAGAGGATTCTGGGTAACCATCTTCCCTTTAGAAACTTGTTCCATCCAGGAAGTCTGCCTGGAGGGGGTCAGGGAGACATCCACATTCCTGCACACATGCCCTTTGCCTTCATGCCTGGACCCCCTTTTCCAGCCACTCTCCTTATGCCTACCTTGCCCCCATCCCACCCACCTGCCCACCACTCTATCACACAGTGCAGTGGCCAGCCCACAGCACAGGGGGGTGGGGGTGGGGATTTCATGAGA